AGCCTCTTGCATCCATGCATCCTTTCATTTGCATCATGCAATGTTTAAAAAAGGTGGGTATATATATATATATGGGCTCGTGGACATTTCGGGGCCCCATGTAAATGCATTTGCTAACAAATCAATCATCTAACATCTGCTCATCTAGCGTTTGCTGCAAAGAAATCATCATTGAATGGAAAGTAGAAAGAAATCATCAAATAGAGCTGGACATGGTAATTCATAAACACGAAAAGAATGACAGTACTCTAGGGAATAGAAGATGAAAAGGAAGCAATGAATAAATTAGGATGAATAATTCCTTTCAGTTTCTTTTAGAAAGGATACGTTGATATAATTACTTGCATGTTCCCTTTGAACAATGATCAATTCCTTTCATTTGTCTTTTAAACCATATCACTTCTGCTCAACATATACATATAAATATGCGTCATTATGCTTCTTGTTACTAGTAGCGATTGCCTTCAACCTACTTGCGATGGCCTCCACCTAGTAGCGATAGCCTCCACCTAATAGTTTCTAGCTTGCATCTCGCTTTGTCTCAGTTTTTGTCCAATTCACTTTGTGATTGCTGAGATTCTGTACTTTCCGTTGGCCAAATCTACATGGACAGTGTCGGTGGTGCCTGGTGATGGATGCACCAAGTAATCCTGGAATTTCACGGGGCACCTGGGACACCCTTGAGACCTGCAGGGCGTGACCGGGCGTTGTAACCAGAGCACACCGCGGAGTTTAGCCCAGTTTTCACTGATGGTTCTCATCAACTGGGTGAGTGGAGTGGTGCTAGTTCGTGCTTCTGGTATAGTGGCACTGCACTTCATTCAGTGCAAGTGATTGTTCATATTCACCGCTGGTGCTGGGAACCGATGCTCAGGGTCCTCTCGAGTTGAGGATGCTTTACTGAGACTACGACGACGACTATGAGTACTCCTACTCCTGCCACTACCACTACGACTACTGCCACTACTACTACAACGACCATGACTAATTGAAAACAATATTTATATGTTGGACACCCCTGGCCATTTTGGAACTTTTGGTGCACAACCATCAGAAGGTGGCGCAAGGCTGCAAAATACCCAAATGTGTTTTTCGGTTTTAATCGTTTCCAGTTTAGGGCTGGGATGTTCGCCTTAGGCGAACCATACCCCCGAAGGCTACGGCTACGACTTTATAGTCTTCCAACTACGCGAAGCATACCTCCGAAGCATACCCCATAGTCAAACATGTCCAAAAAATACCACCGGCCAGGCTGGGAGATCTCTCCAAAGTGGCCGACCGAGCACTGGGAGACATGAAGTGGCTTGGCTCACCGGACGAGGGCGGCGGTCGTCCGCAAGATGAGCTGGTGGAGTCCTTTGGAGCGATCCAACTCGGATCCTCACTATGATCCTCACATGTCATCCTGACAAACGTACATATACAGGATTTGATATGATTTGATCAGAACTTTTTTAAAGTATGTGTATATATATATATTGTTCAAATGGATCCGCCGAGTTCGAGATTCGTTCGCCTCGTGTTTTTTTTGTGTCCATTTTGGCAAACACCGACCAACGAGCCGTAAAATCTTTGGGTGGCGCTGGAGAACATCCGCCTTGATTTGGTTTTAGAAACATGACGCGATGAGATGCCCGTAGGGGATGTTGCTTCGGCCCAGGTGACAGGATTCTGTGTTCCATGTGTTTGCCAGACCTGGCAGCAGTACTCTGACACAGGGGCGACCAGCTCTGTTTTTTCTAGATGGCTTAGATGATCGTGCTATTGAAAGAAGTTGTGCATAGCTGGTGTTTGTTAGTTTCTTCCAATGTTGAGTCCTGCTGAAATAAAGAACTAGTGCATGTTTTCTAGTCGTTCATGCTGTCCCGGGACATGTTTAAGAGAAGGGCCGACTTGGCCAGCATATACACTGACTGGACTTCTTGCACCAGTCTCGTTATGGGTGGTTTCGGGGGAGATGTGTTTTTGCCATGGTTGAGGGTCGCTAGTTGGTGTTTTCTCCCTTCGGAAGCCGGGTGTTGCTTGATGGATCAACAGGCTCACTAATTGGAGCCTGCCGGGAAAGTCCGGCAATGCCCAGAGAGGTGTTCAAAACATGTGCCCACATGGAAAGAGTATGTGGGCGGGTGCATCATATTCATGACAGCAACCTTGGCGGTTTCTCACCGCCCTTGCACTGCATACAACGGTGCCTCAACGGTCATGCAATGGATGAAGTGTTGCCATGACTTTGTCGATATAGAAAGCAGAGCGCTGCTCAAGCCAATCCATTTCGCGCTTGCAATGGAGGGCAAACTCTCCAAGAGGGCAAGGCCTGAGAAAGAGGAGGACTGATGGCCCTTCCTGCCATTGTGGAATGTACAATTACCAACAAGCAGCAAGCAAAAGTCCTAATTGAGGCGCTCACAAAAAATAACTTACGGTATCTATCTATCTATCTATCTATCTCTATGTAATGTAACGTAATGTAATGTGATGTAATGTAATGTGATGTGATGTAATGTAATGTAATGTATGTATTAATGTAATGTAATGTAATGGTATGTATGTATGCATATATATATGTGTGTGTGTGTTTAAAACGGAAAGTGTGCTTTTCCGGACTCAATCTAGACTTTGGCATCATGTGTTTCGCAGTCGCCCAGGAGATGAACGTGAAGCAGCGAAAGTTGGACAGCTGGTGCCGCCCGAGGCTCGATGTCGAGTCCTTTGGGTTCGGAAAAAAGAAGGCGGAGCACTTTTGCGACCATGGGACCAGTAGGACATCCACAATGGATGGTAGGCAATGGTGACCAAAATGGCAAAGGCTGTAAGTCTCTTGTGGCGAGAGCTGTGCAAAGTCAGATTAATAGGCAACTATATACAGTGGCTTTATATATATATATATATATATCACCGCGGGATTTCGTACCACAAGGGCAAGGGACTACCTGCACATCAATGCGCATTGCACCATGCCATGATCTCAATTTGTTTTTGGTTCATCAGTCTGAGCACCTTGATTTGTGCCGAGCAGACCGGGCCGAGTTCAGTGCAGACCGGACAGACAGACGACGCGTGCCTGGGAGCGACACGTTTTGGTTTTGGAACCTCTGAAGGAATGGCACGACCGCAGATCACAGTGCTTGCAATGGAGTAGGAATATGTCGGAATTATACGACCAAGAGATTTCGCGGAGGTTGCTGATGCACAAAAACACAACTGGAGCCCTCAAAGCATGCCCAAATGCCCCAAGGAGGTGAGTACTGTGCCACATTCAAACGCAGAAATCACCACGAAAACAGACCAAGTATAAGACATACCCTCCGACTCACTAACATGCATGGTTACGTGGATGGCATGGACTCTTTTTTCCATGACTAGGGTGGGCCATCCACGAATAGGGTGGGCCATCCACGTAACCATGTGATGTGCTTTATGTAACGGAGTGTGGCCATACCACATGGGCCATCCCGGCCATCCCCAGCGGGTCCAACCCTTGAAGGTCGGAAACACCGGCGGCAGTGGCCACTCCTTCGCGTGCTGGCTCTTGGATGTTGGAGGAGCCGGTATCATGTGATGAGGGAGATGAGGAAAGGTGGATTTGATACTCTGAACCATCTCTGACCCATGGAAAGACCATCCTCTACCAACAGGTTCGCCTTCCACTTCCATGTTTGGTGCAGGGAGGGCACATACTTGTCTGGGATAAGCTGTTTGTTGCTTGCCAGTTTCTTTTGTATCCATATTCTTTGGCTTCAAAACGTGCTCCATGGTGGGCAAAGGTCATTGTATAGGTTCGATTGGCATGACCGAGTGTTTTGCCGGCTGCCTAGGCTAGGCCATTCGGAGAGGCTGTGCGTCAGAGCACAGTAAGATACAAAAGCAGCCAGACTTGCACTTTTGTTGAAGGTGCCTTTGCTCAATGAAAAGGGGGTCCTGAGTTCAAGATGTTTTGCTGCCAGGAGCCACGGATATACCATAGAGATTTTTCTTTTTGTTTTAATGTTCCATGTGGCCGATGAGGTAACCCAGGGGATTCCGTTGTCAATGACAATGCCCATTCTCGTGAGGTTTGGAGTCTTGGTGACCTCCATTCGGTTTGCATGGCCACCAGTCTATATAGATTGCCCTTAGTTATATATATATATATATGAGACTGCAATGCCTGCCATCACGAGGAGCTTCCAGACGCTGCGTCTTTGCGACACTTGCTTGCACGAGAGCCAACACTGCGAGTTTGGTGAAATACTTGGTTCTGAATTCTTATTTTTAGGCTTTTTGCCACTGGGTGTGGTTTGTCGGGGGGGAGCTAGAATTTGGACAGGGACAATAAGGACATCCCCAATCCAAACATGAGACGAGACCAGGTGCGGTTGCCCAACAAGAGACTGTGGGGCGGGCAAGGTGTAAATTCATAATTTGTTGTAGACTCATGAGTACAATCGTCGATCATTCCTGAAGATATATTTTATATCCCCTGCCGAATGGCACCTGTAGAATCTGAGAGGTCAAGCTCAAAAAGACCATCTGTATTATAGACAGATTGTCTCTAGAATGAGATATCAACCTACCTACTTGAAACTATGCTAGCCTATAACCCTGTGCTTTCACAGGTTGATCTTTCATGATGTCAAAAGGTTGAGCTGAACCATCTTATTATAGAGAAGGCATGAGAATGCACCTGATTTTATTGAGGTTGTAGTTTTGATTGTATAGACAGCATTTGGAGTAGTAGTAGGAGGCTGGAAATTCGTTTCAGAGTGGATGGTGTGTTGAGAGGTCAGGTAGGTTGGTCCTGCATTTTATAGAAACTGCTTGCATTTGTTCAGGCTCGAAATGTGCCTTTTTTTATATAATGGATGTGAATGTTGGGATGCTAGATTCCAATCGTCCAATCATCCCTCTACAACAACATTTGTGTTTAAAGCGTGTTCTGTTTCTTAATTGTTTGCCTAACCTTCTTCTAAAGTGACTTTCGACCCTGCAGTGTCCAAACATACTGTATCTCTATGAAATCACTATCAACCTCTTGTGCCACGTTTGTCGAATCATGTTCTAAAGTCATTTTCAACCGGATGTGTATCATATATTTTCCAAGCTTTGGCATCAAAATTGACCGAGGAAAATCATACTCGTATCTTTGCTCAAAAGGATGAGCTGAACCAATTTTATAGAGAACAGGCTCTCAGCATTGCACGGGCTGAGCATTTAATTCGTTTGTTCAGCCTTTCTTTGGCAGAGGTTAGTTAAGCCATTTACTGTATATCTATAAAATGGCATGCCTGGGATTCACCGGTTATTCCACAGAGGATCATTTTAGAAACAAGGATTGAATATTAGAAGGATGTTCACTAAAGTTCAGCATATCCAACCGAATCTTTGAGCATATTGCTGGGCACTCCGGCAAACATTATATATATATATATTTATATATATTATAGATTTATTTGTTTATATATATATACACATTATGGTTTTGCTGGGTCCACGCCACTTGGGCCGAACTTAGGCCTCAAGGGCACCATGCGCATGGACGTGCGCGGCAAGCGCAAAGAGGAGGCGAGGGGGGGGGCCAACGAGTCCCACGAAGACCCCACCCGCTTGTCCTTCAGGTGGTGGTGATTCCAGACTCCGATGAGGAAAGGGAAACCGTGTCCGGTGCTCAGATGTTCGGGGTGTTTGCCGAACAAAACCAGGCATGGTCCACGTCTGCCTGCGGAGCTTCAGGGTTACAGTAGCTACTGTGACAGCACCATTTCTGCCAGCACTTTTCGAAGCAACAGATGTCTAAACCTTCCAAATAGCTGCACAAAACCCAGGGCAACTGGATGCAACTGGTCTCCATTTCGCTTCTGATTTGCCACATCCCGAGGCCCAAGCGGAGCACGAAGGGCATTCTGCGCGTGTCGGCGGGCCGTGCGGCGGCCGTGGCGGGGATTCATTGCTATGCCGATGCTTGGGAGTGCTGAACGGCAGGAAGATCTGCATGTTTGTTTGAATGCAAAACAGCACATTTGACACAAGAAAACACACAATATCACACAATAACTAAGAGCATATAAAACCAAGTTCATTGTTTTCTTGAACAGAAAAACACACAATAAGAAGTGCATTATGTGTTTGTTCTTTTTCTCCAGGAGTGTGGGCTAAGAAGGGGCGAAAGTCGGAGTTCCACCTTGAAAACTTTTGAAAACATATCGTCCAAACTGTAAGAAGGCGCGTGTCAGCCTCTCTCTGTCATGTCGCACCCCTTTGGAACTTCTGACGCGAACAACTTCAGCTCCGGCAGCCTAGGATGTGGGGGAGGTCTTTTTGGAGCTCCTCTACCAGGCGGGAGGCTGAGGTTTTTTATGCTGACGCCTGCGCGTGCGCCACTCTCGGCACAGGCTTCACCCATTTGCCCGATTGAGCTGGTAGAAAGGGACATGGCATGCTTCAAATTTGGATGAAGTAGTCACAGATCCTATGTTCACTCCCCACTGCCACATCTCCCCAAGCCATCATCCCCACATCACCGTAATAGACCATGTTCACTGCCTGCTCGTTGGCTCGCGGCTCACGGGGGGGGCGGCGCCCGTGCAGGATCAGCCGGAGCTGCTCCTGGCAGATGCGCAGCTGGCGGGCGTTGAAGTGGTTTCCCCTCAGTTGGAGCGCGCGCGGCTGGTGGAGAAGAGCGGGGAGGTGGACCCGGACCGTGGCGGCGAATCCATTGGAGCAATTGCTGGGTAATCTCCATGAGACCGTCTGTGTAGATCCCGGGTTCATGAACATTTGTGACCACCGCAGCTGACAATGGAGCTCACCTTGTACCACTTGCTAGATGGTGGCTCACGTAGTGGATTGCGCGATCCTGTTGTTCATCAGTTGGCCTTTGGGAGCTTGCAATCTCCATGTTTGGCAAGGGTATTAGTCATCACCCGTTGCCTGTTGCCTTTCCACATCTCGAAAGACAGAGCATGCCAGGGCACCTTGCACACACTACAACGGGCTTCAAATCTCTCAAGAAGCAACCAATTACCACCCGGATAGGAGGTATTTCATTCACAACTGCTATAATTATATAATTATACAATATACAAGGTCAACAGTGATATGTGTTCAATCAGATCTAGGGCTGGGGTCATCACCTATGATGGAGTACCTCTAACACATGAATTGTGCATCAACATGGAGTGCTCCACGTTGTCACTCCCTCATAACGCCCCGAGTCCACAAGGCCACAGGCTTGGAGGCAGCACTCAAGGCCGCCCAAGAGGCTCAGAATGTGGAGGCTGCCGAGGCGGGCGCGCGAGGTTTCGCCGCGGAGCACGTGGGGACAAGGCTGGAAGAGAGCTGCAACTGGACAGACTGGAGTAATCTGGAAGAATTGATAGGCAATGATGGATTGTGCCCACATGATCGATTTGATACCACAGGATCCACTCCTTCATTCCTAGCACCAACAGGTAGAGCATGTGGATGACTGGAAGTGTGGAGGACTGGTACAAAAGTTTCGCTTCGAACCTTTGGAAGGTTTTGATGATTTTCCTCCCTAGGTGGCGAGGACAGCTTGTGGGACAGCTGTGTAGGTTTTGTATGGCCAGATTAGGGATGACCACCCTTCCACTGAGTTGGAGATGGGCAACTCAGCAAATGCACCCGGTTAGCCCCTTCTTTTTTCGCGGTATTTCTTCACCTCCGCCGTGATCCCTTTCCAAGTGATCGTTTTTGGGCGCTCGTCCGTGTCTCAAGCAGGGGGCTCGCAGCCAACTGCGAGACCTCGTGGCGAAGGCCAAGGCAGATGGACGAATCACAGCTGAAGAGGCGAGACCAACGTCTGAGCTGAGCCGGGGGTATGATGCCATCCTCCCAATCGACCGGGGGGTAGGTCCCAACTTGGACTAGGTCCATTTGCAGCACCAAACTCTCAATCTGTGGTAGATTTTTGAGTCATTGGAAGAGGATGATCAAGACACACACACACATATGATATGGTCACATATGTATATATATATATATCTCTCAACACCACGGGTGCGATCGAGTATGACAGATGGTACGCTCCTTCCGAAGCGAGACGCCCGATGGTACGCGCCCCCTCGAGGCCTTGGCCTCCTTAGGCCCAAAGGTGCCCTTTCAAGACACAAAGAGAATCGCTCCCTGATGGTGTTTTGCTAACATTGCAACGGGATTTGATTTGCTACCCTGTAGGCGGCAGAGTTGCAACAAACTTTGGAGTTGGAAGTGAACCTCGACTTTGGCGCGCGGCACGAGGACCAATATACGACTTGGTTTTCGATGTGGTTCATACCCCTTTCCAGGCACGCCCAGTTACACTTTAACATGGCATTGCTATGTTTTTTCTAGCATTTTTAAAGACCCAAACAGTGAAATTATGTCAAATTAATGTGTCACGCTCCAACTAGCAGGAGTTCGCAATGTATCTACATAATCTTCACAAAGCAAGGCAGAGGATAAGTTTAAATTAGTTTAAATGTCAATATACATATATACATATAATATTGGGTGAAAACAACTATGAAAACCATATGTTGAATGTAATTTGCTATGACCTGATCTTATGGATTAAGTTCGGACATATACACAGACGCATCGAGTTCGGGCATCTTCGATTTCGTGTCTTTGTCATCGAGACGGCGTGCGGCGCACCACCGCACGCAAGGGCACGGATGTGCCTTTATGGGCGGGGAGGACTCAGCGATCGAACGTTACGAGAAGAAGGTGGGCTCCAAAGTCTATGGCCAACAACAACGTGCCACGGCGGATCGGAGGTGGGCGAAGGAGGTGGGCGCGAGCTGAGTGAGGCCTATATCAGGCCCAGGAGGTCAGATGAAATGATGGGTGCTGAGACGTGATGAGAGCTGGACCAGTTGGTTTCAGTCGAGTTGTCCATCACAAATGGAAGAACAGGAATTATGAATTACTGATGGCGACCAGAAAGGTCACAGCTACAGCCAGAAAACGCCAGGTAGGCCTAGACCAGAGAGATCCGAAGAGTAAAACCTCGAGTCAGGGACATTGCAACAGTAGGCGACCCAATCTGGTGCCGTTCCTGCAAAGTACACGGATGAGACGGATCAGCATTTTTGCATAAGTGCCAAGAGAATCGCAAAATAGACTTGCATCCAGCCACGACCAATTCTACTACCAGCTATCAATGAACAACAGACAACGATACATATATATATATATATACTGTAATATATATCATATAAACTGTGTTGCCAGTTCGCACATGTTACAATTTGTTTCGTTTCGTTGTTGCCACAGCCATTTTCCCGGCCGGGTGGACATCACTGTTTGCTTGCCAGCCACAACCTGAGCTGACACTTGTTTTGGGCAGTCAACAAATTCGACATGTAACTCAGGCCTTTGCCTTGGCTTTGCCCTCTTCAAAGACCTCCTTTGCTTCCAGTTCGGGCTCTCATGCGCATTGGTTAGTTGGAAGTTCTTCATAGTCCCAACCCAGTCCACAGTCCGTTTTCTGGCTCAGACCGAAGTCCACCGTCCACGGTGACCTTGTGGCATCGTCATGGTGGAGCGCGTGTCTTTGGCCCAGGAAGCCGCAAGGCATGAGGCAGAGAGCGCTGCTGTGGATCCACCAGCTGAGGCTCAGAGGCCTGACAGCAGCAACTCACGCATGGCACTCTCAGACGCACGAGTCGCGGCAAGCAGGTTTGAGCAGTCGGTGCTGTCGCAGGGCGTTCAAGTTGCTCCAGGCATTCTTCATGTTTGAGGCCTGCGGATGTCTTGGCCCACTCTACGTGCTGTGGTTGCACTTGTCCCTAGCCCCAGCCCAAAACCGATTCCTAGAAGTTATATGAGTTAATTTCAGGTGGGTTGAGATGTGTCAACAAAACAGTTAGTAGTGTAGCATTCTGTTGAGTCTGGCAGGTCCGGTTTTTTGGGGGCCCCATTGACTCCTCAGGTCTTCCCACTCTTGCGCCCCACTTCTTCAATGAGACGGTTCACCTGGTGCCTTGCCGGCTTAGACTGTTTGAGGAGCTCATTTTATCGTGAAGGGCACAGATATCCGCCACTCTGCACAGCCAGCTGTTTCAGAGCGGCACTTTGCCATTCGTGGCGTCCTGCGACCCAGATGCAAAGTCCCATAAGATGCGTGCACAGAGTTGCTCATTATTGGGGCCACTGCTGAAAGCAACAAAGTTGCTTGGGGCATGCAACTTGCCATTGCGATTGGGAGATGCAAAAAGATGTAAGAGATTGTGAGAGAGACACTGAGACACTTCAAGAGGCAAAGGGTCTAAACATACACGCATTCACAGATATAACTGCATCATTAGACGCCCATCTGCCAGGCGATGATGCCTGGATGAAAGCACACGCTTAGTTCCAACGCTGATTTCGCGCTGCGAATTGGCCACCCAGTATAGTATTTATATATATACATATATATACCGTATACCGATGTATACCTCAAATGTATGCACTTCCGAAGTGGTCAGTCTGTGACCGCCCCTGATGCTGATTCTCCCACCTTGATGTCGTGTGATTGGCCACGTCTTCTCCCCACCTTCGACCGGCTCACCTAGGCGTATTTTTGCCCATGCCAGTGGACGGCCCGCAGTTCGCCGTGTGCCAAGCCTTCCCCCCCGCCCTTCATCTCGGCTGTGCGGCCACGCGAGGAGAAACCCAAGGAGGATCAAGGTCACTTGATGGCAGAGGGTGGCTCTTCATGCACATGGAATGGCCCCATGTCCGGATGTGGACTGCCTTTCCCGGTGCGAGCTTCAGAAGGTTGTAGAGTTGACTAGGGCTTCCGAACAGTTGGGTTTTGTTAGTGAGTTGCCATGGCTGGCTATGTTCAGGTGGAAATTGGACCTGTTCTCAGTCAACTGTCCATGGAGAGACCCCTCCGAGGTGCCAGGCCCCTATTCTTCCTGACGGGCTATGTCGATGGGCTGGTGGATGTGCAACGCGACAGTCCTGCACCAGGCCTTTGCTTGGGATGGAATGGCTACACTTGTGGCGAAAAGAACTGGAAGGATCACAAACCAAAGAACTGCTAGAATCGCCCTTGTAAAGGATGTCCTCATCTTCTATTCCCTTTTGACGTGCCGTCATTTTTGTTGAACAAAGCCTATCCACCCAGTCTATTCTCCCCATACCTACCAAAAAACCCGCACGCACACAGTTTGACCGCTACCAACGGATGTATTTTGTCTATAATATATGTTCCATGCCCTGGTGGTTTCCAACCGCAACGTCTTAAACTTGATCTCCAATCGCAATCGGTCTTCCTTTGAACGCGTGGCGTTCGCGGGGCAGGGGCTGCGGCGACGCCCCTGTCAACCTCTCACGCCGTTCCTTGGTCCAGTTCCGTGGAGTTGGGTGCCGAGCTTGGAGGGGTGATTTGAACAGGATGCTTTTGGCATCATTTCTGTAGCCACGTATGTGGGTGTGTTTTCTTGTTTCCCCCTGTGCCAGTGAAACAGATGAACAGAAGTCCAGACTTAGAGAAGGCCAAAGGGACTATGGACGGTCTCCTAGCTATATGAGACGGGAATATTTTTATATTATATATACTTATAAGACTTGGGTGTTGGTTCGGGAAGGTCGGTTTTGACATTTCTTGCTATTTTTTGACCCCACGCCCTGGACCTTCTTTTATCCTGAGGATGAGACACTGGTGGTGGAGGTGAAGCATCGCATGGGCCGGATCAAGGACAGGACGTTGGTGGCCATTTCGGTGTTGAGTCTCATTTCAGCGATCTGAAGATCTCATGGTTTTAGCAACCCCTGAGCTAGACCTTGACTGGCAAGGTTTAATGTGTAAACAACATGTGTAAACAACCAATAGGATCCAATAGGTATATGTTACAAGATCGAACCCTGAAAATGATGATGCAGAAGTGAAGGCGATTTTCATTTGGGCCAATGCATGTTTTTGCTGCTTTCTCGCCTCTAGCCTATGATGCCAGGACCCTCCAAATATCTATGATGTGGTGCAGCTTTGCAGCTACTGTCGGGCTTTGGGCTGCTTAAGAGGCGACCTCGTCCAGTGCCTGCGGGGCAAAAGAGATGGAGACCTGGGCTGCAGAATCCCAAGATGGTTATGCCATCCCACCTGAAGATGACCGCTCCAGGGCTGAGAGCCCACAGTAAGGAGTTGGTGGCTAAGCTTTTTTGATTACGCTCTACTGGGGGCCATCAAGTAGGATGGGAAGATGTCCCAGACCTAGCTGGCTCTCAAGCTTGCTGCCATAAACTCACATGGAACACCTCACGGAAGTGCAACACCACTAGAGGTGAGAAAGGCTTCTTGAGACTCTGTGGTGAGCCAAGCAACTGGCCCAACCATTCTTCAGTTCCACCATCATGGGACTCTTGGATCTAGTATAGTCATCCGTCATCCTGCAGTAAGGACGGTCGAACCCACTGTCCTTTCAGACCCTTTTTCAGGGCTTTGCCAGGTGTTCGGTGTTTGCTCTCCCCACCTGTTCCCTTCAGCCCAAGACCGACCCCCCCCTGTTCCAGCAGGACATCACAAGACCGTCAAAGCCACGGTGCGGGACAGGAGTTGAACTGCGGTTTGACCTGGTTGACTCTTAGGAGACCCCTAAAGCCACCCTGGTTTGACCTGGTTGACTCTGGTTGACCTGGTTGGTGGAAGAAATGCTCTCCCCCTAAATTGCCACCCTGCCTTCCCGCGCCGTGAGCTTTAGCAGCCCCTGGCTGCTGACTCATGCAAGGAGAGCAGCTGCACGTGACACGCATCGACTTCTCGGATGCTTGGATTGGCACCGGGCGCCGGTCCCAGCGACATGGCCATCCATAAATCAAAGCAACCAGGCTCCTGAGTCCTTGTAAATGTGAGTTGGAGGATCCACTTGTGTTATTGTTTTGTTTTGTTTGTTATGAGGCTGTTGAAAGGGATGGGATCCTCGACCTTAGTGCTTGTACTCGTAGATACTAGCAATGTCCATCACCCGGTCAAACACTGTGCGCTTTCATTTGCTTTCAGGCTATACGATGCTTTACGTGGTATATGGGCCTATGGGGCCTTATTAGCTCCCCAGCGAAAATCGTCATCAAAAAGTGCGGGTGTATAGAAAACAAGAGCCAGACATCTACGTCCAAGTGATCTCTCGAGTTTTGAGTTTGTGGTGCCTCCGCTTTTCCCAGTGGTCTATTCACGTACGGTGTGGATATATAGAAATATATAGATATGATATGTCTTTATTTTATATAGGGTGCCCATGACATCCATGTCACCAATAATTGTTTGGATCCTTGCTGAAATACGGAGACTCTTCCAACTTCCAACTTGCGTGGGCGACTCTTGAAGCCTGGGAGACCCATCCTCCAATGCCTTTCCAAGCCATTGATCGCGTCTCCATTTCTCCATTTCCCGCTTGCAAGGCGAGGAAATGTCTTGGACAGATATGGAAACAGCTCAGTTGTTGACAAACTTCCGCAGTATGTGTGCCTGTTTGGTTATTGATGGTGTTGCAGTAGAGCGTTAGAGATGACATCCAATAGTGGTGAAGCATGTGAAGCGTAGGAAGATTTGAATGTTTACCAGCCCCCCTAATCCCTACATGACAATCCCCCATTTTTAGATTCTTTTGGCAATCAGACTCCGCGGCTGCAGGAGGGAAGCCCTGACCGAGTGGGCTTCGACCGGCACGTGTTGCCCAACCTCTACGCCACGTGCCATGCGGTCTACGCCGCCCGCGAGGACACGGCGTGGCGGGTGAAGTTGCTGCAGGCGCCTCCGGAGGAGCGGCGATTCTTGGTGGAAGTTGCCGGGCGCCAGGTGGTGAAGAAAGACAGATCAAGACCTTTAGTGAGGAAGACACTGACGTTTTCTACTGATTCTTTGTTGACGGTTTTGGGCGCTGTGTGTTACAACATCATTTGGCTCACTCTTGCATGGTGAAAGAGGCCGCTTTCTTTGTTGACTATGCCGCTATGGCATTGTTGAGCCAGTTGGCTAACTCCTGGCCAAAGTATGAATAGAATCTGAAACTATATGGGGGTGAGCACGTATGCCGCCGAATGCCCCTCAAAGGAGATGTGTTCCTCTCATCAGGTTTTACTCAGAGTCAGTTGGTTCCAGGAGACCTGACAATGGTTTGAGCGAAGTGCAGCCGTGGATAGGTCTAAATCATTTACGCTTCCTTTCTTGATGCCTTGACAAGCATTATAAGTATTATATACAATACAACTAGGTGATGGTTTCGGATATGTTTATTTTCAACCCTTACTTGGGGATGATTGGACGCCTTTGACTAATATGTTTCAAGTGGGCTGAAAACACCAACCAGACAAGAAGCGCATGGAGCTGTGGCACTCCTTCGTGTTCCACCGGTCCGGCCCGCCGCGACGGCTTTAAGGCCAGATTGTGGGGCAACTTTGCCCCCACCTGGACAATTGACAAGTGAGCCGTCAAGTGAGTAGAGGTCTTGAAGGCCGATGCCTGCCCAAGTCAGGTCGAGCTCAGTGCCAAAGACTGTCAGATCTTCACAGCTTAAGACGAACGAGCTCGCCCAAAAAGGGCCACCGTGACTGGGTTACCAGGCAATCCAATTCGCCAGACGCGCATGCACGCATGGGTCAGAGGGGATGTATGTTTGTCCGGGCCGCTGGGCACACATATGGACGGAGCCAGCCAATGAAGACGAGGCCCTCCAGAAATGTTTGGAGCAGACAAGATGTTCAACATGTTTGCTTTGCCAAAACGGCTTCCAACCAAACTTCTGTGGTTCTGCCAAAGTTCTTCTCTTTTGTTACTGTATTGGTTCGATTTGATTTCAGGACATTTCACACGGTGGTCCATCAGGGTCTCGGCTCAGTTGGCCAATGCTACGTAAGCTGCAAATGCCCAAAGCATCCAGAAAAGCAATCCTGTGGGGAGAAAAGGGTCTGCGCAGCCTGCAAGAGCAAAACGAAACACTGGGACCAAACCAGAAAGAACCAATTCAAAAGAGAGAAGGATTTGATCCAAACCGCAAAGACAATTCAAAAAAGATAGTAACTGGATGAAACTAGGATGTTTGGACTTGAAGATGGGTGGGGGGTCCATGGCAAACATGCTTTCCATCCAGATCTGAAGACCTATCATTTGACGAGTGCCAGTACTATTCGACCCCATGAACTGATCGTATCGAAGAAAACTGTTTGCACTTGTTCAACTAATGATCACTTTAAGCAAGCAAAAACGATCTTTCTACAGTCCTATTTC